TAATTGTTGGAAGTGCTTTTGGAAACTGTTTTATCTGCCACTGTCCCAGTGTTAATTGGTTAACGATATATGGTTAACCAATTAACCAGTCATTTTCCATGTTTTTTTGAACTTTTTCAGAGGTTAACTAATAAACCATATATGGTTAACCGATTAACACTGTGACAAAATGCCATTTTTGGGCTTTTCATGCTTGTTTGGTTTTATTTCACCATTTAGCTTCCATGGCTTGATGTGCTTGATATTTGTGACGTTTTGAGTTGTTTAACCTCTGTTCAAAGCATGTATGTGAACCTTGATGCACAATTTATCCGTTATGTAATAGTTTACACTTTTGACATTGTATGGTCATGATCATTCTTGCATACTTTTGTTTATATGATAACATGATTGGTGATGCATGCTAATTGATGTTTGTTACTACCTTGCAATTCATTGCATTAAGTTTGTTCTTTATTGAGCAAATTTAATTTTGTATAATCATTACTCTACAGGCTTGCTTTGACGATCTTTCAATGCAAAAGATTGTTGGCTCGTTCATTCCCTTTTGATCGATTGATCGAAACCTTGTTTCAATTAGTTGAATTTCCCTCTTTCTTCTCTTTAGGATCTTTTAGAGCCTTGTTCTTTCAATCCCTGCTAAGCTGGAAGTCTACACAATGCACTATAGCACTATACAAGTTTGTGCTGCTAGACAAGGAATGAAAGTGGAGAATTCCTACACTCATTTTGATTATTTTGGGTGGGGGACAAATGACCTTGTGCTTGGAGTAGTCGTGTCTATCTCCTTACTGTAGTGTCTTCCAATTCTTAATCGAGTCAATCCTTGATCACTTGCACCCTGATCATTGTCTCTTGGATTAACTTCCTCCTTTTGATTCAACAACTTTTTCTTTTGGCCAATCACTATTTTTTGATTCCCCGGAAGATTTGCAATCACCCCTCTCTTGGTTAATCAATTGTTCTTTGGTTAAAACCAATTCTTTTCTTCCCTAATGAAATCACACATCCTTTTCTTTGGTTAACCATAGTTTGTCTGTTATATACCAAATCCCTAGCGGAGTTTACAACCTTCTCTTGGTTCCTCTCTCTTTTTCGTTGGTTAATCACTTTCTGTTAGTTAAACACCAATTTTCTCTTTTTCTTAATTAATCATAGTCCTTCTGTTAACATACTAAGTTCCTCTTAGGTTATTCACCTTCTTGGTTCATCACCCGTTTTTCGGTTAATCACAGTCCGCCTGTTAAAACCAACCTTTCTTGGGTTAACCACATTATCTTGGTTAATCACCCATTCCATAGTTAACCATAGTCCGTCTGTTAACATACTGAGTTCCTCTTGGGTTAATCACCTTCTCTTGTTTCATCACCCGTTCTTTGGTTAATCACAGCCCGCCTGTTAAAACCAACCTTACTTGGATTAATCACCTTCTTTTAGTTAATCACTCGTTCCTCAGTTAACCACAGTCCGTCTATTAACATACTGAGCCTCTTTTGAGTTAATCACCTTCTCTTGGTTAATCACTCATTCTTTTCGGTTAATCATAGTCCCTCTGTTAAAACACCGATTTCCCAATGATTAGCAACCTTTCTTTGGTTCAAACACTCTCACCTTTGGGTTAGTAACCTTATTTTGGTTCAAATACCCTTTTCTTCGGACAGGTACTGCTTGTTCAGTTAAGGTACCACGTTCTTTGGGTCATAACCTTCAGTTGGTTCCACACCCGTCCTTTCGGTTGAGTTCTCTAGAGAGTCAAACACCTTCTCTTGGTTCGTTACTACCTTTTTGGTTCATCACAGTCCGTCTGTTGACACTAACCTTTTGCTTTCCCTATAGAGTCTTACTCTTATCTTTCTTCGGTTAATCACTGCCTTCCAGTTAATGTACCGAATCCCCTGTGGAATTTCCTTTACCTCAATTCTTATCCTTTATTCCTTTATTCTCCTGGTTTCGACACCATTCTTTTGTTTTCCCCAGTCGAGTCACCACCATTTAGCTCAGCATAGTCTTCCTTTGCCTTTCTTTCTTGGTTTTGACAACATTCTTTTGCATTCCTCAGTAGGGTCTTGCTACCTCCTTTTGCTCTTGGTTTTGACACCATTTATGTTTCCTACTCTTTGTCCATCTTTGTTCCCCGAACTACGTAGGTTCCAAATTCCTCATTGCACTATGAGGATATGTAGGCACGAGATTGCAAAGTCTTGACGAGCCACCTTCTTCCCCCTTCTCCTTTCTCTTTCCTTGGTTCCATGAATTGTGGAGCTCTGAATTCCTCATTGCACCATGTGTTATCAATTGATGTGATCCAATCCCAATAAGGCTCAGTTTATATTTCAATTTTTTACTTTATATTTTTTGTCTTTATATTTTCCGTCTTTATATTTTCTGCCTTTATTTATGGTTCCTCGAACCTTTTAACCAAAACTTTTTCACAACAAGCTTAGAATGTAGATACCGTTGAATGGCGTTCTTTCCCTTGCACCGATACCTAGGGAGACGATATAAACTCTGGAGGGAATTCCTTCCAAACTAAATTTTTGCTTCTTGCCGTTTTACTGCAGTTCGAACAAAATGGCATTGTTGCCGAGGATTGGTGTTTAGATAGTGAATTGCATTGCAATAGTCTCTATATTTATAAGCTTTGTACATTTTTTATATTGTATATATTTGTTTCCTTTTATGTTTTCTCTAGTGTGATTAGGAATGATGAGAACTCCTTCTAGATTGGTTGATATTTGTATAAAAGTATTCAATGAAGCTTCGACCGAGTTTGGATGGTGATGATAGGATGTTGAGTGTGTGAATGCAAGCAAGGTAAATTGTACCTTTTTATAGAATGTTAGAATGATTTAAGAATTTTGTGCTTTGTGCAAATGTGTATTCTTGTTTCTTGTTGCAACTTTTTTGAATGCTTTTTTCACTTAGGTCCAAAAGCCACAAATTATGAGAAACCTCCATTGTTTACTATATGCTAAAATGACTGGTAACTTTGTTTAATTCGTTTGATTCATGCTTAATCTTTTGATTATTGTGATTTTGTGAAAGCATTAGAAATGATCAAGGAATTTGTTTATATTGAGCACAACCGTATCCAAAAGTAACTTACTCGTGAGTAGAGAGAATTTGTTAACCCCTTTGAGCCTAAACTGTTTAGATCTTATTTTAGTGATGAACTTGGTTTATGTACATAATTTGAAAGTTTTGTTCATCATTGAATTTTATGAGATTCTAAAAATTTCTTCTTGAACCTTTGAACATTGTTTTAAAATAATTTACTTGCCATAAAAAGTATGGAACATTCACTTAAGGTTTGGTTAAATTTAAGTTGGGGAGAATGAAAATGAAGAATGGTAGGTTGCTAAAGCTTTTGAAAAATTTCAAGCAAGCATGAAAAGAAAAAGTGTGAATATGAATGTGAAAAAAGAAAGAAAAAGAATGCTTGTTTGAAAAAGAAAAATAGAGAATGAAATAATTGTACAAAAGAAAGTTTGAGAAGGTTTGCAATAGAGGAAAGAAAGTGGTGAATGAATTTGGATGTGTAAATAACTTGTATAGTGAATGTTCTTTTGTGTAACACCATTTTCTACCCCACAAATATAATGGCAAATCAATCACATTTATCAGAGTAAAATATTAAACACAACAAAAATCACCTCAAAGGGCGTACATTTCTCAATAACTAAAACAAAAGTCAATGCTCCGTAAACAACGGGTTTTCTCAAAATTACTCAAAAATTTGCTCAAAAGGAAGCGGAACTCAAAAAGCAAAATCCAAAGTTTTCCTTGCGCAGCAACATAATCAAAATAACAATAATCAATAAAACATGGTTTAACTCAAAGACCTCAACCCAATGTTACACTATCATAGCAAGACCCTCTAAGTCAACCAAAATGTCAAAAACTCCAAAAAGTCCTCGACGACATCCACGGCTAAACCTGGTCATCTGCATGTTACCCACGTGGAGGCAACATTCAAACATGTAAGGTGAGTAAAATTATTTATACACAAGAACCGGAGCACAACAAAATACTTCACATCCGCACAATGGGACTGAAGCCACAAGAATCAAACACTAGACCGAAGTCCGGAATGCATATGAATGCATGGTGCACACGTCAATATCATCCTCATAATAAACTCATTAGGTGCATCATCATTCATCAAAATCATCATAATAATCATGTCATCATATAATCATCAAAAACTCGTGGAATCAACATCATTCACTACAAGAAAAATGATGGATTGCGACGGTTATTTTGGCAGGTTAAGACGGTTAAAACCACCATCAATTACATTCTACGACGGTCGTAGTACCGTCACAGAAACGTGTGTCCCCGGGCTGTTTAGCGACACTTGCCAAAACCGCCACACCAACTGTCGTTATATTTCACAACGGGCTGGAACTTACCTTAATTGGAGATGGCGACAGTTAAAGACCGTCGTTACTAGCCTTTTGATTTTTGTTTTCATGGTTGATTGTGACGCTTTAAAACTGTCGTGAATTCTATTTCACGACTGGTTGGAACTAACATAAATACTACAAGAAAATTGCATGTGAATATTTATTATAAAAAAATTTACCCTCAATTTTTTAGCATTATTATAAAAAGATAATAAAAAAACAAAATAAAAAATAAAAAATAAATAAATAATGTAATCTTGTGTGTATTTGTATTCTGTCTCTGTTTGAGATATTTTCTCTAGAGAATGTCTAATAAATCTCTATTCTTATTCAGTAAATATATTCTTGATACAAGTTTCTATTAGTGTCATCAAACATTACACATGAAATCAGATAAAATGTTTTCACATATACAATCAGTGACAGTGATCACTAGTTCACTTATATATTTGTTGAAGGAAAAGTTGCAGACAATTGTGACAGTGATCACTAGTTCACAAAACCACGAATTTCCAATTGATTGAAAACTGCAAATAAAAATAAATTCCAAATCTAACACATTTTCGTATACGGTAGGGATGTTTCCGAAGATGTTTATGTCAATAGTCGCTTGATGCCGGTCTTCTGTTCTGATGTAAGCCTAGACGGAAACTTTAGGTTGAACTTGATTCTCAAGTTTCCCTTTTTGGAAGGTTCTTTAGGAATCATCATAACCTCTTCTTTAACAACTTCTTTGCATGATGGACTGGTAATGGTGTTGATGGGGACCGTAAGATTCCTATCGTCGAGGGTTGTTATTTGCACTGTGTAACCTGTCAGAGCCTCTACGAGAGTGATCTTCTGAGTGACAACAAGATCATTTCCATCCCTCTTGAAGACACTATGAGGCTTCTCGTCGATGATAAAAACAAGGTCGGCGGGAATAAGTCCTTTATGTTCATTTCCCTTTTCGGGAAAAGTTATTTTTGTTCCTTTCCTCAAACCTGGCTTAATCTCAATGGTTAGAATTTCCTCTACTATGGTAGGACTCCTACAGAATAAGAAAACATCAAGAAATATGCATAGAGATTCGACAAAGTTTTATGATAATTGTCGACTGCCTAACACAATTCTCTCCTTTTATCTGGACTTGGGACCGGCTAAGCATACTAAAGAAATATTTTTAATGAAACAACACATAGAAACTGCATATACATCAAAGATATCAAGTCTCAAACCATCATAATTACTTATTAGTGGTAAATTGCTTATTAGGAGCAAATATAACAGCAAATGTACACTACCGAAAATGAAAATGATCATCGACCAATAATACTATTAAGCACCAAATAGACACGAATACCGGATACAATACTTATGATATTAGAAAATAGACGAAACTAAATTAACTACATGTGTATGTGTGCGTCAGGTTGGTGTTGAACTGACACTGATTTTGTCTTTGCAATAACGGCTACCCCGTTGTTTGCTATTCTACTATAGCATTTTAGGGGTCAGTGCTACGCAACAATATTTGATATTAACAACATAGACCAACACATAACAAAAGAGAGTCGTTAAAGTAAATTTTAAATTCAAAATTCTAAGTATGTGCAATAAAACGAATACGGCTAGGCTAATATAGGCAAAAATTAAAAGCTCACCCACTAGAATCAGAAACATCCCTAGAAATCTTCATTTTTTTCGTGGTCCCTTTATACAAATCCTCCAAACCACAAGGCAGAGTTCTCTCTATCGGCGCACTTTTTCTCGGCACGTTGCTAGATCCTTCACCAGCTGTTGCATTCCTTAAAGAAGAGAAAATGTCATCCCTAAACATTCCCCTCGGAAAGCCGGACGTACCAGGATGACCACCCATACCACCCATATCGCCCATTCCACCAAATGGTTTTGCAAACCCGAAGAACTCTGAAAATATGTCATCAGGACTTCTCAAATTGAACCGAAACATCGTCGGTCCATCATCGTTGGCTTCTAAAAATCCACCTGCACCAGGAGGAGGCATCTTCCCCTTCAACCCCTCCTCACCATACTGATCATACACAGCTCTCTTTTGTGGATCACTCAAAAACTATTCAAAAATCAACGATTCTAAAATGATTCTAAATCACAAGAAAACAACAATCAAACACCCAACATTTCAAATTATAACCCCAAAACACCCCCACAATCCCTAATAATCATAATACACAAAATCAAACATCCCATCATTCAAAATTCCAAATTGCACCCCCAGAATTCCAAATGATTCTAAATCAAAACAAAAACACAAAAATTAAACACCCCATCATTCAAAACCACAACCCTAAAACCCCAAAACTCCAAATGATTCTCAATGATGTTAGCAGTATCCCCTGCCACAATTGCTGCTTTCTCCAAAACCCTACAAAATTGAAAAATATTAAAAACAGAAAAGAATAGTAATCACAACTAGTCTTCACTAACTTGACAGAAACCTTTTAGAAGGTTAGAAGGATGCGAGCTTAATCTCACCGGAACTGATCGGTGTGTTCAATTCTAGATTCCTCAAGAGTGTCCTCATACAAAGATCCAACACTGTATGGAACGTCCATCTTCCTTTTCTTCACATCTGCAACAGTAACTTGAAAAATATGGACAATAGAGCTTCCTAAAATCTTCTTGTATCGGTATCGTTTAGTTCCTGATAAGAATACCAAAAATGGCTATGATCATAGAAACTGAACATATTCCATACGCCCAACTTCGACTAACTTTGTCTTGTATGTAAACAAGCACTGTCACGGCTGCAAGAGTTCCTAAACTGATGAAGAAGAAAAACATATTGAAGAAATAAGTCATTTATGATTTCTCGTTCTCATCTTTCTCGTCAAACTGATCAGAACTAAATCCTGAAATGATCGACTTAAGTCCGCCTGTTCCTAGTGCAATAAGGTATAGAGTCAAGTATAAGATTCCCATTTGGATTCCATTAGCCAGCTTGCAAACTTCGCCCGCGTGACAAGGTGGTGGACTTAGCCGTGGCAATTTCGTTGAGATTGTTAATGCTGCAGTACCCTGAAATCACCATTCCCTCAAAGCTAAGAACACATACATTGATGCTAATGGAAGCCAAAAAAAATGCTCGAAAAAACTCTAGTTTATTTCGGCTAACTATATATGTAACTAAACTAACCATTGTTTGTATTGCAGCAAAGATTCCAATAGTCTTGAATCTTCCAAGGAAGGAAGCTGCTAGAAAACCACCAAGCAAACAAAGGAGAAACGACGTGCCCAGGAAATTAGTCACAGTATTGGCTGCAGTTGAGCTTGGAAGATGCATGACTCCCATCAGGTATGTCACCAAGTTCACTGCAATCCCCATGGTGGAGAGCCTCTCAATAATTTCAATCCCTGTAACAATTTTTGCAGACATGAACAGCTTAAGTGTTTATAATATAAGTGCTTCTAAAAAAACTATGTCCATAATAAAAGCTAAATTAAAATCAAATCATTTTCACAGAAATTATATAAGATGTTTTCGGAATCAAAACCAATTACACACAGCCACAAATTACGAAAAAGGGAAAAGGACGTACTGGTTTGGAAGAAGAGGAGGATTGAATCTCGTATTGAATTTCGTTACGAAGGAGTCTGGAAATGTTTCCTTCAAAAGCTTCTTTTCGCATTTCGGAGATGTAAGTTCTTCGGGAAATGATGTGAGGAATAGGAGAAATGCATACTCGTTGTTGTTGAATGTGAATTTGGGGGTTTATGGTTAGGGTTTTTCTGAGGGAACGGAGCAAGCGTGCCATTGAACAACATAATTGCAGGTTTAGAATTAGATGGAAGGGTTTAGGGTTTAAGATAAGCAAGTGAGAATGAATCTATAGATCCCAAAATTATATTAGACCCAAAACAAAAGAAAATATAATTTGTGCTTCCTTCTAAATATGTTTTCTAGTTTTATTGTTTAAATAAAAGAGATTAATGTTTTAATGTTTACACCCAAATTAAATCCTTTTTAAAATTTATGCAAATAAATTTTTGAAATGATGTGAATTTTAATCCCCTATTAACATTGTTAACAAAATTATTTTTAATAAAAGTTAACTATTTATATAATAAACAGATAAAATTTTACTATTATTTTATATAAAAATATTAAGCTACATTGTCATGAAAATTATAATAATTATAATAATTATTTATTAAATTAATTAATAAATTTGAAAAGGTTAGAAAATAAAAATGAAAGAAAAAAGTGAAAAATTAAAGGAATAAAAAAATAGTGATTATGATTGGCTAAAGTAATTGCAATAGTTCGCCTTAACTGTCGCGAGTGTGGAAAGAGGGCGGTTCTTTGGTAACTGTCGCATTATTTTATACAACATGCCTAAAAAATTTGCAACGGTTGGCTCAAACCATCGTGAGAACTATCATAGTCCAGGAATAAGGACGGTTTTTTGATAATTGTCGCAAAAAATCTACGACAGTTGACCCTAACTGTCGTGACAACCGTCGTAATCCATGAATAAGGACGGTTTTGTGATAACTGTCGCAACTCAAGTGTCGTAAATCTCCTTTTTTTCTTGTAGTGATTACTCATAAGAACCATCATACAATCATGTATTAATCACATATGAATCACAGTCATACTCAAGGTAATTCATCCAGAAAATCACAATATCAAAACATCAAAGTAGCACTGCACAAGCATACACACAAGTATTCGATAAATTATCCACAAATAATTTCACAACTGGCAGCAAACAGTGCAACAATTCATTAATAGAACATATACACAATTGACTTCCCAAACATATTAGATATAAAAATATTGGGAAACCAATTCTCTTATCTATACTATGTTATAGCCATGTTTATTAGCTTTTCGAAACTTCAAACAATGACCAAAACAGATTTAAGGATCAAAAGTTACGTCCAAAACATGAACAATCGTGACGGACAACATGTAGAATTTTCTGCGTTTTTCATCGTTGGAGGTCTTCTGGACCTCCGATTTCGATTCCGTAAAAACCCAAACTCTCAGAAAATTACAACTCATCAAATATTATAATTATATCAAGTAAATTTACAATTTTAACACAATTAAACCATATAATCATCGTTTTAAAATTATGCCTAAAACCTTTAAAATTAATGGATATAGGTTCAATCCCGTATCATATTTACGCCTCCAATTCCCATAAATCCTTACAAATTCCCCACATTCATTAGAGTTCTCATAATTAATTACCCTATAAGGTTAAAACCTCAACAATAGATTTTTGGCCATGACGGCCTAATTTTCCTTACTCCCAAATCAGCCCCAAATCTATCAGACCATCAGTTCAAATTCCTCAAACTCATTAAACTCACCAGAAAGGTAACAAAAATTCAATACTCAAAATCCTTAAACCATTAAATCAGCTTTAAATACATTGAATCACATATTGAAAAAATGAAGGTAATACTCCCCATACTTAAACAACCTCAAAAACAAATTTGGCCTCGAAGGCCTAATTTCCTCAAACTCAAAAACCTCCTAAATCCTTAAATCAACTTTAAATACATTGAATCATATATTGAAAACAATGAAGGTAATACTCCTCATACCTTAATTGTCGACTCTAAGCCTTTCTCCTTGATTCTTGGAAACCTCGCAAAGCTTTTGCCTCAATCCTCTTTCTCAGAGCTCTAGCCTCTATTTCTTCCCTTTTCACGGTCTAACAAGAATGAATCCAAATTCCCTCAAAATTTCTTTTTGTTAAACCTAACTTTGGGCCTTTAAATTGGGCTTTCCAGTTTCACCCTCACTAACTCCTCCTCAAATGTCCACTTTGCCCTTAAATTAACTTATATTTATTTAAATTAATAACAATACCAAATATATTCATATTATATACTATTATTAATAAATAACGCAAAACTCCATAATTCTCAATACTTCATATCAACCACTGCAAATCAACAAAAATATGAATATTCCTATTTAAATAAATTAAATGAATATACCAATAAATTTGGGGTGTTACATTTTGCATTGGAAACTTTGATTCCATAGCCTAAAGAAATCACCCTTTGTTGTAAACCCGACCAAGCTACAACCTTAAAAGCCCTTAGTGATCTTTTTGCTTCCATGTTTTCATTTTTGATTTTTAGATGAATGTATGAATTAGATTGTTATTAGCATTGTTTGTCAGATGATTGAAATTTCCCCGTGGTTGCAAACACGTTAATTTCTTCATTCTTATTTTAAAGAGGAATATTAGAGTGATTCAAGTATGAGAATTTAGTTTTTATTTGAAACATTGTATGATATTTTTTTAAGAACTAAATTCTTTGTCATTTTTCGGTTCCATTGAGTGGTGAATGTTGCTTGTGCCTATTTTCATGCTTGACCAAATCCTCTTATTTGAGAAAATTTCTCTTGTTTGAATTTGAACTGTTATCTCTTTTTTTGGTTGAATCTTATGCTTGAGAAAATCCTCTTGTTTGAGCAAATTTCTCTTGCTTTCATGAGGGGCATACATTGCTTGAGGACAAGTAAAAATCTAGCTTTGGAGAGTTTGTTAAGTGCAAATTTTGACTTAAATGAACTATCTTTCTTGGAAATTTTCAAATCAATTCTCATGTTTTCATAGATGTAGTTCATGTTATTGTGTTATTCTTCAATTATATTGCAAATACCTTTGGATTTCTTGATTTGTGTGTTAT